GGCTTGAATTTGTCTTGCCCGTTGTTCAGTTAGGAGCTGAAAACGCAGACAGTATCGGTGCCGTGCTGAACAGTAAAGATGACCAACGGGAGATCGCTGAAACAAGAGAAACGTGTAGGTCGGTATCGGTGGGCGATTTCTGTCAAAAATTGGGGGGCGTTAACAGTAATACAAACCTTAGAAAGAGGATGATATGGCATTTCAAAGAGCAAAGGGAAATCTTACCGTTTATTTAAAAACATACAATTCGGGGAAAGAAAATGCTTTAATTACTCAAATCTGAACATTGAATGAGGTGAGTAGGGTTTAGTCATTCACTTCTAATAGCAGTTTGGAAATCAAGGCTAACTTTTGCTTCAGTGGAACAAAACTGAGGTGCGAATTTTAGAGTCTGCCATCTGCATTGTCCTAGAGCCTTTATACTTTTGCTAAGAGCAGTTGCAGGGTAATTTAGCTTAAAAATTCTTATGGAACAATAGACTTGTGTAGGACAGAGTAACTAGTGCTTATTAACTCTTATACGTAACAGTAATTTTCTTGTGTGGGCAGACTTAATTTTGTACATATAGTGCTTTGATTAAAATAAGTTGTACCTTTTAGAATGGAAAAATGAGGAAGCCAGATACCTGTTTTCAGGAGTTCTGTCCTTAAGAAGTTGTGCTGGTCTCAAATATACTGAGAGGAGCAACTTCTCATATACAAAGTTTCAAAACAATTTCCAGCTTGAAACAGAAAGAAGTAGTCAATGCGGATTATCAGAGATTTCTGAAATGTTCTCTCTGGAGAGAGAAACTTTTTTATATGAGAATTTTTTTTTTTTTTAATGCTTATAGGGCTGCTTATGATACTTCTGCACCAAATGCAAAACGCAAATACCCAGATGAGGGAGAAGCTGATGAGGAAGAGATTGAAGAATATAAGGTAAGGAAAAAAGGAAAAAGTTACTTTTCTGTAGTGCTCATGTGTCTCTGAGGGACTTATAAAATATGTGTGTGTATAGATAAAAATAAATGCAAAGTGTATAGATACTTCAAAATGTCTTCCAGTGCAGAGATCTAAGAGAGGAGGCATAGATGCCTCATAGATAGAACCTGAAGTGGTTCTCTTCAGATGTGGCTTAGGTGCATTGAACCGTACACACACCAGAACCCAATGGCTGGAGGCTTAATTTAGTGCTGCTCCTAGGAGGAGGTAGGCCCACAGGGAGCAGCAGTGTGTCATGACTAGCTGTCTTGTGTGGGAAGAAGTGGTAAAATACATGTGTGCTTGGGTAGACACACAAAAAAATCTTGACCAGAATTTGTGTCAGAAGAAAAGCTTGCATTTAGCAAGAGGCACAGGCCATTGGATGGGGTACAGAGAGGCTGAGGGTGTCTTCCAACCAGCCTGTTAAGTACAGAAGAATGCAGCTCTGGATGAATGGAAAAAATAAGGGATTCTAAAGGAATGGAAGTAAGAGGCTTGATTGGGGTATGCTTTAAGTATCCAAAATACCCAGGAAAAGCTCAGTTTAAAAAACAAAAATGGCTCCATGGTCATTGAAGAACGAGTGGTTGTCAAACTGTCATGTTCTTCATTTTTCAAATGCTCATTCAGGAGCTATTTGACAGCTTTCGTGTCTCATATCTTAATGTGGTCTTTTGGCTGAGTGGTAGAGAAAGGAGGTTAAACAAAGGCAAGATTAGGGTACAGCTGTCTTTTCTGATTTGCTTTGTGATCTTGTTGCAGTCTATATCCTCCCTCTCCCTTTTTCCATTTCCTAATAACCTTGCTTCTGTGGTTATGTAGAATCAAGGTCAGTGCGTTTATGAAATAATGCAGTGTCTGCTCTTCTCTTGGATGCCTAAAAAGAGTAATTTTTGAAATATGAGGCTTTGGTACTGTTATATTTGTGTTCAGGTTTATAAATCTTTCTGTAATAATGCCTATCTTCTATCTTACTAAAACAAAAAGTTAATGTATGACAGGACATTTTTTGATGACTAATTTTAAAATTCTATCTAAACGGACAGACATTCTTTTTAACATGCTAAGTGTTAGTCTGTACATCTTTATCAAATCAGTCACCATCTTGAAGAAGGGCTTTATAGAGTACATGCACTATGAAGTGGGGGTTTTATGTTCCCATTAGTGATCAGTTCATATCAGTTTATTTTACTCCACCAAGTATGTGGTTAAACAACTATTTTTTTGTTTCTGTGAAATACATGTGGATAAGTCACTTCAGTGGGCAAAACATAGGATTCTTATCATTAACATTTTCTTCATTAGCATAGAGAAGACTTACAGCCCTGAGGTGTGCTGTAACCACTTGCAAGTGGCCAGACTCTTGCTATATTGTTGAAATTGAAGAATATTTTAATAATACTAGCTCGCACCAACTTCAGTTGAGCAGATGAATAGATTTCAGAAACTTGAACCCCCCAAGTAGAATATCTACAGTGGAGTCATCAGCTGTTTTCTGCAGACATTGCTAATTCCCTATTGGCAAGGAGAGAAGAACTTAGTAAAATCCCATCTGTATTTATGTAACTTTTTCCTAAGTACTTTGAGCCGGTTTAAATTTAGTCTTGTAGTATGAACTCATACAAAAATCTAGATCCTTATGGTATCAAGCCCTATTGGATTGTGTTTAATACTCCTTAGACAAAAGTAATAGACTTAAGTATTAGTGCTGCAGGCAAGTATCGCAAATCTGCCAGTTTTGTTAGGAAAATTAAGGTAAGTACTGAGGTAAGTATTTATGATGTAAAGTGACTCATATGTCTCTCAAACACTGACTTGCAATGTTGGGTTCTACATGATGCTATCAGTTAATCCTTCTGAAGTGGCTTAAAATTTTTGTGCCCTGACTTCAGATTTGTTGGAAATGAATGTGTCCTCAAACCACGACTGCTCTGGCTGGAGCCCGAGCATCTAGCTGTAATGGCTGGTGAAAATGGGTTACTGTGAAGATACCGCATTGTTGTTACTGCAACAAAGTGTGATGGCACAAGGTCTGCAGGGGTGGAGTGTGTGGATATGGATGTGAAAGCTTTAAACAAATGTAGTTGGGTATTTTAGAGGATTTCTGTTGGTTTCTAGTGATCCAAATGGAAAGTGAAGTGAGCTGATGACACCTGAATGCCTTATGCTGATGTTTTGAGAGAAGGCTGAACAGTGACATTGACTTTATTATATGGGCGGGAGTGTGAGAGCACTTATTGAGGTGAAAGATGAAGTATGTTAACCTTCTCAGACATTTAGGAACATCTGAGGAAAAAAAAGCAATATTTTCTAATTTTTGTTTCTCTGGTTTTGTTTTTTTTGGTAGAGGAAGTATGAATTTATAGTGATGGTTATTAATAAGCATCAGGCTGATATGAAATGAAAGGGCAGCAAAGCTGCTTGTTATGTGTCCCGCTGGCAGCTTGACTTCTGTCTTGGAGCCTGACTCTGTCTTGCAAACCATAGAGGTGGGAGATAACGGGAAGAGTTGCATTATTGGCAAAAATAAGTAACAGATATTTCAAGGTCAGAAAGTTGAGTTGTGGTTCCAAAGAACTTCTACAATATTCCTGTTTTTTGTGGAACTGTAACAGTTGTACGAGGGTTAGTTGAGTTCCCTGGTCTGCATTTGGATGTGACGGATAATGGGACTAGACTATCAGCTGCCACTTCGAGGCTTTTCCTGGCCTTCCGAGATGCTCTCAGGCACTCCTCTTCCCCAGGTGAATTTACTCAATTGTTTCAACCTGTATAAATGTCTGGACAGTGTTTTGTGGCAGAGGTCTGGAGTTTTAACCTTGTATGAAGTACAAAAATACCTGTGGTCCAAATTTGCTGTCTGCCAGCTTAATGTGATACAGCTCTGTTTTACTTTATTTCTGCAAGCAGTGGCTTACGAGCTTGGAATGTTTCCTTGCCATTGTTGTGGAGGCTGAAAAAATCTTGCTTGGTTGAATCATGGTGGTTGCTTAGTGTATCTGTAGTGATTTGAAGAAACTGTATGCTTGAATACTGTGTGTAGTTTTTGTTTCTGTGACTCAGCAACAATATACCAGATTTGGAAAACAAGGATGATTAATGCACAAGAATGTAGTACCTTGTATTACTGCTAATTACATTCTGTCTCTGCTTTGACTGTGTTCTTTTGCCTTTGAAAGTTGGTGCTGTGGGCTTTTTGTTTGTGGCCACAAGACTTGTTTTTTTAAAATCACTTATGAAGGCATAAAGCGAACTGGGATGACTCGGAAGTAGGTATCTAACAAGTGCTTATCATCAGAACGCTAAGATTTAGAAGATGGAAGAAGGGAAACAGGTGTAAGCTTATGATGGCATAAGCAGTTTTTAGTAAAACTCAAGGTTTCAGCTTTTTTTTTTTTTTTTGCCTAACGCTGCTGCTTGTCTGCTGTTCATTCCTTTTCCTTGTAAACACGTTGCTGTTTCTGTTAGTAAACTTTCTCTTTTTGGTCTGGTTAAACAAACAAATGAAAAAAAGACTGTATCTCTGTAAGTTCTTCACCTGAATAATGGGGAGAGGGAATCTGTGACCTATTAATCACAGCAGGCATTTCAGAAGTTGGTTCAAAGCTCTAAGTTGGAAAGAACACAGAGCTTACAGCTAGAGGGATCAAAATAGGGAGAATGCTTGGTTTTTTTTCACTTTGCGTTCAGACAGCTGATGTAGCATAGGGTAAATGCAGCAGTAATAATAGCCTTTTTTCTGCATGTTTTGACTTAAGATGTGTGTTGGAGGGGAGAAGGTGAGTTCTTTTCTGAGAGAAATCTGGTTCTTTCCTTTTATTTCAGTGTGTTAAAATGTCTCTCTTTAATATTTCAACCCTGAGACTGCTTTTCCTCTCCTATGAAGCACTATATTAACTAAGTTCTGTTGTAATCAGTAATTTATGAAAGAGTATATGCATCCTACTAAAATATGGTAGATATTATTTAGTGGTTCTTCAGTTTTACTTATATATAGTATATATATAGTGGTTTGTTTCAGGATCAATGGGGAAACAGAAAGTGACGTGAAGAAGCGAGTCTGTCTCTTGTTTCTGTTCTCTCCAAGTTCTCTTGGATGTTCAGAGTATGTCAGTGTGACAGATCTCTGAATTCCAGAAATCTGATGAACGACTAATTGGTGACACACTAACCGGGGAAAAAAATTGCAATGCTATTGCTGTTTCCTGTACATTTTGAGACTACAAAATGGGAATTTTAAAGTTACTTTTAAGGACAGTCCATACGAAATACCGCCTTGTACCATGTGCTATTTCTGCAAAGCGTGGACTTTAACAGATTTATATAGAGAAGATGATTTCAGCCTAGGAGATGATTGAATGGATATAAATGTTCAAAGATTCTATTACAGAACTTCAATAAAATATATAATTTGCTTTAGTCCAAGGAGTTAAATTTTGGGGGGACAAAAATTAAAAGTTCTACACCTTGTAAAGCACTGCCTACACTGTCAGAGTCTCGAAATGAAGGGTTTCTAACTTTATTCTTCTTTCAGAGGCCTTTCCCCATAACACTCTCCTCATTAATGAGAGAGAGGCAGAACTTTTTGGGAATAGGTAATTTTTTCTTTTTCCCCTCCAAAACTGGAGCTGAAACCATTCATGCTGTGCAGTTGTAGACGACTTCTGTTTGTAGACAGACCACTTCTTTCCTTAAGAAGCAGAATTATAATGAGAGAAACAGCATGATTTTGTGTACTTATAATACCTGCTTTATTTCCAAGGATGAAGTAGAGCTGCAGCAAGATGAAGAGAACCTGCCCTATGAAGAAGAGATTTACAAAGATTCCAGTACGTTTCTTAAGGTGAGCTGCTTCTGCAATTAGAAGTCTAGTCAAAGCTGGCATAGTTGTGTTAAACTGTTCCTGCATTGATGGTACTTGAAATACAGCTTTAAAGGCTGAAGTAATTGACTGGAATTCACCAGTACAGAAGTTTCCTGTGAAAGGTATGACTGTAGCTAGGATTTAACATTGATGTGGCTAAAGAGCTGGGTCAACTTACAGTGAGCTGTAGTAATGATGGGCTTGATTTGGAACTAAAAACACAATGATAGTCTTGGCAAGCGTTGCTTATAAAGGCATGTTGAAAAGAAAAAAAAAATCTGTTTCTTTCTCATTTATCAGACTAACACATGTAGTGCACGTGTATACGTCCAGTTATCTCCCCGTTGCTCTCACTAAGCTCCCTTTTGTTCTACAGGGTACTCAGAGCTTAAATCCACACAACGATTACTGCCAACACTTTGTGGATACAGGACACAGACCCCAGAACTTCATCAGGGATGTTGGTATGGCATAGTCAGTAACTCTTTGAAGAAAACTGATTTTATTTGATAGCACTTTTACTTCCCCTTTTTAATTCCTTACAGCTAGTGGGAAGTGTGGATGCAGATATAGTTCATAGTTTTGTGCCTCTGTGTGCATACATACCAATATATAAATTTATATGAATGATTTTATTTTTAATTAGTTAGGAGGTGATTATCAAGGCTTCTCTTACTCTTGGTTCTATTTGAAAGTATTTAACCAGTATTTAACTGGCTTCAAAACTAAACTCTTTTGGTTCCAGAAGGTAGATGAGTCTAGCGAGCAGATCTTGAAACCTTTGGAAGTTTGAGTAACTGACTTACAGTTCAGCTGTTTCCTGGACTATATTGCCTCTAAGAATGCATATAGCATGTAAAGTACGGAAATACTTAAATAGAACTCAGTAAGCAATATGATAATATTTACCAGTTAAACTATGTAAGTGCTGACAACTCATTAGAAGGCCCAACATATTACTGAGTTTAGAGGATGTTATTTTTCAAGTTTACGTTCATTCAGCCATCACTGAACTTGCTATTGAAATCTTAGTTTATTAGGCCTGAATTTAATCTATCTAAAACTAAGGTACGCTTTGGTCCTGTTTCCCAGAATGGGTGCCTGGTAGTTATTTGTTTTTTAAAAAAAAACAGGACACCTCCCTCTGGGGTTTTCTGCAACCATTCTCTGTATTTCATCAAGTTTAAGATTGACAGGGCAAGTGTGTTGTGTTGGTAGAAGTGAGCCCAAAGAAGTTCTGTTTGCCTGTTGAGGCAGTTAGTTTGTTTCTTCTCTATATTTTGTGAATGCTGCTGTGAAACACATCTGGATGTTTAGTATGAGAAATGGGTTTTGACTCAGTTATGTCTTTATCTGAAAAGTATCTGGGCTTCACAGTTAAGTACTTGAAATAGTTATACACTGTTCTTTGAAATAAGATGAGTACGACAGAATAGCACCCCATGTTATTTGCTCTGACTTCTCTGCTGCATAAAGAACGGGCAAGGGACAGGACAACTTGTTATGTGAGTATTATTATGGAAATGAACATGTCATGAGCAGTTATCTAGACTCTCTATTAAAGATGAGGTATGTCAAGTTGCATATTGGTTAGAATACTTTTTCTACATGATGATCAGAACTCTGCTTAGGTGCTTCTTTGTAATTGGACATGACCCTACAAGAAGCTGTAGGGAACTAGCGGTTCCAGAACACCCAGTTTTATCTTTTTGATGTTGCTGTTGGAAGAAAGGGAGACCTCTGGGGTTTGGTTTGTGTGGTGGTGGTGGTGTTTTGTTTTTGGTTTTTTGTGTTTCTTTTTTTTTTTTTCTTTAAACAACTGAAGTCGTCTTGATGTAAAAGAATTTTCAGTCTATTCCTTAGCTGCTGATAACTGGCTTCTGTTTCGGCTGGTCAGGAGTATTTGACTTGCACCAGCTGGAAGCAACACAGCAGTAGAAATCAGAATACCACAGTGGTGTTTTTAAGATGTTATATATTTAAGGAAAAGAACAAAAATAGCTTTGGGGTGTTTTATGCACGTGTAATAAGAGATAATAAGGTTAGATACTAAGAACTTTGCTTTTACTAGTGCGATGCTAGCGTTGGGAGTTCAGAGTTAAAATAAGGAGAGGGATGAAGGGTTGTGAGTTTGTGCATTTGTGTGGGTGTTGTTTCCTCATGGATTAGGACCATTTAAAGTTGTAAATCTAAATGAACATGAAGTTTTGTAAATAACTCCTACTAAGGTTGAACTGATACTGCTTGGTAGGTGGGAATGGTACCTTTTTGGTTTGTGCTGAGACTACTGCAATAACAAAAACATCCTGTGAATGTAATATACTGAAAAGTTTGCTTCTTTTTTCTCTTCTGCTGCAAACTTTAAAAAAAAAAAACAACCCTCATTAGGGTTCTCTTTTTTGCATTCTGTACATATGAAAGGTTTGAAAATTAACATCATAAAGCTAATTCTAGTAACTTAAATAAATAAATCTTCATGACTGACACCAGAGTCCCAAATCTCAGTGTAAGGATTGTGTAAGGGAACCAGCCACACCCCAGTTGCTGCCTTAGAAATAGTCTTCAAAGGTTAAATAAGAGTATTCTGTAAATGTATGTTAATTAGATCTTAATATAAACTTATCAATGGGGGGAATAACAAAATAACTTTCATCATTCTGACACTTAGTTTAAATGAAAGGTTGTTTTCCTTCTGATAAAAGGATTTGTGAACTCCTGGTCACTGTAGCGCTCTAGAGAAGATGAGAGCATAGACACTACATTCATTAACGGCCACAATTAACTGGGTGAAGGCAGGAGGTTTTTGTGAAGTACTGAACAAAAAACTGCTTTGATGGGTTTGGTTTGTTCTAAAAAAGTTTAAAATGAGGCTAAGTGTTAACGTTTGGACCTATTCAGAATACTGGACAATGCTTAATTGATACAGATTTACTCTCTAAGTAGTTGTTAACTTCATGTTTTCTTCTTTTTAGGCCTAGCAGATAGGTTTGAAGAATATCCAAAACTTAGAGAGCTCATCAGATTGAAGGATGAGCTGATATCTAAATCTAACACTCCTCCCATGTAAGTGTGCTTGTGGAAAATGCCTTTCTTCTCCAGGCCTGTTTGAAGTTAGCTGTCTGCTTTGCAAATCTCTCTTTAGCACCTGCTCAGAATTTACATTTTCTATTTCTCTTTGTATATACAAATTAATCAGTTGAAACTTCAGAAGGGTAAAATCAGCTTGTTTTTGTTAGTTTAATCTAGGTGTTTAATATAGTATATAAACTAGATTTTTGTTCCAGTGTGTGATTATTTACAGTATCTGAAGCTTTGGGGTTTTTTAGGAATGAACTGTCAACTGATAGGGCTGCAGGCTTTAATTTGGGAACTAAAACAACATCAGATGATTGTGAATCTCATTGTATCTGCAGTTTACAATAACAAGAAAAGCTTTCAAAAATTGGCCTCTTAATGAAACCTAAGTTGTTCTTGTAACGGGGGTGTTTTTTTTTTTTATAATGTTCAGCTATTAACTTCGTATCCGTTAATGTTACTTTGTAGTTTAAGACCAAAAAAAGTTTAGGCTGGCTGGAAGACATTTGTCTTTGAATTACCTCTTGAGTTCTTGCTGAAGGTTAGACACAGTAGAAGCATGCAGCATGTTACTCCCAGGAATTTGAATCCATCTGAATGTGAACCTAATGCTTTTAATAAGACTGCAGTCCTAATCTGCACCGAGTAAAAAAGCATTATTACATGATAGTCACATGAAAAACTAAGAAACAGTTGTCTGAACAACTGAGATACAAACTGTAAAACTCAACTTGCTATTTTGAAGTTAGATGCATTTTGGCATTCTTAGCCTTAAAGCACAAGAGAAAATATAGCACCACAAAAAAAAAAAGAGGGAAAAATAGTAGTCAAATGCTGCCTTGTGATCACACCAAATACAGTTATGGAGTAGAAATCTCTTTCCAGACACTTTCTTAGGAAGGGGGAGGTGGTGGTCTGCTAATCACCTTTTTTTTTTTTTTTTTAAGGTTAAAGGTATTGAGGCAAGGGCAGTGTAATTTTTTTTGAGTGATAACAGATGTGAGTGGTGGGCAGGTGTGGAGGCCAGTTGTAAGAGTGCATTTAAGTGTGTATTATGCTTTTGTTGTAGGGATAGAGAAAAACATTTCTACTATATGAAAAGTAACCACATTTCCAGTATTCAGAGTCTTCTGAATGTAACATATAATAAATGGCAATTCTAACAACATGCCACATAGAAGTCTGTTAGCCAGGCAGTAAGTGTTTGCTTCTTACATGTTGATTTTTTTCTCCTATATAGTCCATGGATGTACAGAAAGTTCAGTGATTCTGCACTAGATATTGTTGTACAGTCTGTGTAGGCATCTGTTTCATGCTTGCTAAATTAGAAACTGTTTATTGAGAGAAAGACTACTTTAAAAAAAAATCTGATGCAACAGCTTCCAGCCTAGGTTAAGTGAGAATTATGCATCTTCTTTGGATTTAGTGCATTTGAGCTATATGAACTACACAGGAGACCCTACTCTTAACTGGCTACACAGAAGTGCTATGTGGAGTATAATTTTCAAACCCCTGTTGTAACTCATCCAAGAAATCTATCATCTTCTGTTTAAACAGGTACTTGCAAGCAGACTTGGAAGCTTTTGATATTAGGGAACTGAAGTCCAAATTTGATGTGATTCTTCTGGAACCACCACTGGAAGAATACTACCGAGAGACTGGCATTACTGCCAATGAAAAATGTTGGACCTGGGATGATGTAAGTATTTTTCTTATATGTAGGAAATCCTTTTCACAACATTTAAGCAAATAGTTTGCGGATTTGATTTGGTATCAAAATGTTTGAGAGATGTGTGTTAAGGAAAAATGGGGTATGCTTTTTGTTTTGTTTTTAAAAAGAAAAGTCTATATTCTTATGAAAACTTTAAAAAAAGAAGTGGAAAGTTTTATGTTGTATGCATGGCTACACTATTTGTGTTAAAAGACTTTTTTTTAAGGCGCTTAATGAATTAAATACACCTTTTTGTTCTCCCTCAGCCTGGTTGAAAACTTAAATCTACTAATAGTGGGTCTTCTCCCTATCCTCAAATTCCACGTGTTTTCTGTTTGGTTTTGCTGTTGAAATTCAGAATATCCATTGTAAATATCCCCTGTTTCTTGAAATTCTTGAAGAGATTTTTAAGGTATGCTTTTTAATATGCTGGTCTTGTAGTCAGAAGAGTAGATGAGTATGCGTCACTGATACACCTCCTTTCTCCAAAGTATTGATTGGGTAGAAAATTTTAACAATCAAACCAATTGTAATCGTGAGAAGCCTAATAAGATAGATAAACCTTACTTGTGGAATTTTTTTCTTGTATTTATGTATTCCCTTACTGCTTAGTCACATCAAGAGTGGTGTTTTTTCTTGAAGCCGTGTTGATTTCTGACCTGTTTTTGGGAACAAGGAGAAATCTTAAATGTGCAAAATGTGATCTTCGAGATCACTGTTGGTGCTCCCGTTTTATCGTGCTCTAGTAAACATTTGGAGAATTGAGTTGGAGAAAAGATTTTGAAATTCTTTCTGTAGTAATACCTGTAGATGCTTGTAAAGGAGAAAGCACTCAAGATGTGTTGATGAGTAAGTAGCTCCATTCTGTATCTTTACCTTTTCAATAAAGTCAGCTCTGGAAAAGCAAGGTGAGGGCTGGAGGGTATGAAGTGCTGGATGTCATCAAGCATAACAATTTGATGACACAAAGCCTGCTGCCAAGTTGCCCTGTCCTTTGAGATTGAACCAGGGAATTCCTTCACTTGGGCATGGAGTAAAACACTTGTAACGCTAATGTCAAATAGTGATAGGTTGGCTCTACTCTATGTGTCTGCACTTCACTCATTTAAAAAAAACAAAACAATAACAAACCCACAAAAAAAGCCCAAAACCAAACAACCCTGTCCTCACAACAAAACAGACAATCTGTAGTAGAGAGGAATAGGTGATTTAAAAAAAAAAAAAAAAGTTTGCATAACCTTGTCAGGAATTCTTGGGTGGGTGGGAATATGCAACTAGCAAATGCCTATTATTTAGGTACCCTATTTGAAAGGTATGCGGGACTATGTCTGCATTGGCAGCAAATTTGTCATAGTATGAATGAATCAGTAGACTGAAGCAGTTGTGTCTACTGAGGTTTTCTTATCTGTGTTCTGTGCAGTTTGAGGGAGGGGGATGATGGTGTTACTTTAAACTAGACTTAGTTTGTCCTTAATGTTGAAACCCGCACGTGCATAACTTGAGAAGTGAATCGGTCAAACTAAAGGATCATGAGAACAAAATAAAATTCAGTCCACCTTCAAGGAATGAATTTGAAAACAAACCAATGCTTGGGATAAAAGACTGGGCAACTACATGTTAAGGAATAGGTAGCTTCTGTGTTAGCCGTTCTGTTACGCCTGGCAGTGCTGCCCAGGGGAAAAACATCCTGCCCGAACAGAAAAACTGGAAGTGTTGGAGGCAGGAGTCATGGTCTTAGTTGGGAGTTATGTCCTCTTAGAATGGATTCTACTCCATTGTTTTTCTTCACAGTGGCACTGAATGAAGCTTGATTTGATGTGTTAGCAAGTTACAGATGAATCCTTTCAACTTGTAATGAGTAACAGATGCTTTGCATCTCAAGTTATTTCATCCTGAATGTTACTCATTTGTCATTGTTGAACCACTGCCCTGATAAATTAATTCTTGCTGCTTTTTTCCTGAAAGTGAAAAAGAAAAGAATGCCTTTCCTATATAGTAATAAGGATTAAGGTGTTGGTTTTTTTTTTTTAATAATGTGGATACAGAAGCTTCACATAAGTAACTCTAGGGCAGAAAAGAAACAGAGCACTATTGCTCTGTTATTAAATCTTTTTGCTACCAATGGAATGATAAAAGGAAGCAAAGGTTTAGGGGAAAAAAAAAATCATGTGGGTTGTATTAGTCTCTAGGTCTAGAATTTTCTATACAGGTAGAATTTATCTTAAAGAGAATAATTAAGCTGGTCATCAGCTATGTTGAAAACATGCACTTGAGTACTGATAAGGTACTTCTACAACATACTTTCTGGACGACAATTTTAAAAGGATGGCCGTGAATGGTATACAGACTAACATCTTTAATGAAAGTGCTTCCTGATGGTTTCTGTGATAATGCTTCAACAAATATTATTACTGACACAACTGGTGATTTATATTAAATTTAGAAACACGGTTATTCCTATTATTATTATTAGATCATGAAATTGGAAATTGAAGAAATTGCAGCCCCAAGGTCATTTGTGTTTCTATGGTGCGGTTCAGGCGAGGGTCTGGATCTTGGCCGAGTGGTAAGATGATGTTTTAACTCAATTTGGGACAGGCTTAAGAGTTTATTTTTATGGTTGACTTTTTCTGTATAGAATTCTCAACTGTAACTGCTGAGAGATGTTTTGTTACTGTGGTAGAGGATATATAATTTTAAGTGTATCTGACATTAACTGTTTAGATACTGTTATTTTCCAGATGAGTTGCTGTGACTGTGTGAGGGAGCATAATTCTGTAGTCTAGAAAGCTGTACTGCTCTCTTGTTCTTGTGGTATGCATGTTGCTATGTTGAATGCGTTTACAACATTTTTATTTTTTAACAGAAGTCTTAATAGTTTTCTGCCAGAAATATTGATGCTAGTAGAAAGGTGCTACTGTTTCATAAAGTGAGATAAAATTGTGTGCGTAGCACTGCTTATTTTCAGAAAACACCTGGAGTTTAAGTAGGTTTATTCTTAGTGAGCTCTGTGCAGTTTTACTTGCCTATAAGATGTTGGATTATTAGAGTAATCTTTCTGTATGCCAGCACTGCTTGTGTTGGGAATGGTAGAATAAGAATGTGCAATCCAGTGGCTGTGCTGAAACATTCTTTGCTTAGTTTGAAAAGTGCTTTATATTAAAACAATACAGCAAACAAAACAGTTGTTAAAGGACAACATGTGGTTACTAATCTGTGTGCTTTATCTGCTTTTCATTCTGAGGTTGGTTAAAGTAGCTATTTCGGATAGATTGATTTTGGTCATACACGTATTCGTAGTAGCTGGGCAGTTCTTGAACACAGCAATAGCCAAATGAGCTTGAGTCCTTAATGCCCAATTTCTTCCCTTTCTAACACTACACTTACAGGAGTTAAGGGTTTAAAAGTCATATAAGGTTTTGGGGGGGTTTTTTGTTTGGTTTTTTTGTTTGTTTTTACAGATGTAAGAAAATCCATAAAACGGTAGCAAAGGCTTTTGGCTGTTTATCTTCCCATTTATAGAATTTTACACTGATGTGAAAAAACTACCAGGTTTTAGTGGGGACAGTGCCAAGGCAGCTGATCACTATGTTCCTCAGACTGATTTTAATTAAACTTAAGTGTCAGTAGGTAAAAATTAGTGCAGATCTGTGCAGTTGTTAGATACTTTAAAAAAAAAAAAAAAAAAAGTGGTACATAGACAAGGCAATGTGCACATAAGCCTTTGGGGGTAGGAGGCAGCTTGACAAAACGTGGTACAGTCATGCCAGTAAACTGTTTTATTCATCTGTGACAAATTTCTCTTCCAGCTCTGCTTTAAGAAAAGTCAAGTACCTATACAAGTGCTCAGTTTAGGTTACTTAAGTTTATGGTAGAGTGTGAACTGTTTTATCTGTCCATAATATTTAGTGTCTACGCAAATGGGGTTACAGAAGATGTGAGGACATTTGTTGGATTAAAACGAATAAGAACAATCCTGGAAAGACCAAGACTCTAGACCCTAAGGCTGTTTTCCAAAGAACCAAGGTAAAGGTTTGGCTCAGTTTCTCTTCTGTTCCCATCTTGTCTCTTATGCTAATGAAACACCCGGTGCTCCATGGCAGTTGGTGACATGCTTTCAGGAAAGCAGAGATGAGGACTTCAGAGTTCTGTTCTGTGAAGTATGTTATATGGAAATAAACGTATTCATAGGACGAATGATGAATTTCTGTCCCCTTCTTGACTTTAGTCAGTATGGGGTATAGAAGTTTCAGGTACACTTCACACTGCTTGGTAAATGTCTGTTATAGTCCTCTAAGTGTCATACTTAGCCTTACATATTTACTTAGCCATACATATTTGAGCCTTGTTGAAATGCAGGCAGCTGAGGAGGGTTCATAGATTGGTGGAACAAGAAGTAAATCCTCAGAGGGAAGATGGAAATTGAATAGAAAATGTTAATTGTACATTGCAATATTTTAGACTTCTGGGTTGTTTCGGTTATGGGTGAATGGTAAATAACCAGTTAGTCTGTTAGCAATACCTTCCGTGCAAAACACAAGCTCCTTTCCAGATTAGAGGAGAAAACATGCTGGTAGAGGAACAGACCTGTTGAATGGGACTAAATTTGATGTCAAAAGAAGTCTTTAAAACTGTAGATTGTAAATGAATGTAGTCATAAAAAATAACTCTGGAAGAGTGGCTGGTGGTTCTAAATAGGCACGTGCAGGTATGTGTGCAGAGCTTGAACCAGACAGAGGACTCTGAGGGACCGTAGCTCAGTTAGTATCTCTTGACTTCCTGAAGATGACTGTAATGCACACGTGACAGAATCAGTCGGCTTGGTTTAAACAGTTTCTTAGGGATGTGTTGTGGAGGACGTGTATTGAAGAAGGTACAGAGGAAAAAAAAAGTGTTTTGATTTAGGAGCCTCAAATGTACGTTATTCAAAACCTTACAAAAATGTAGCTAGGATTTGTAAAGAATTGTTTTGGGTATATGTGGGTGTAACCGTGGCAGTTTTACTGAATACAGAGAGTTGGCTGACGATTTAATAATTTAAAGTGTCATCAGCCTCAGGACTCATTCCACATTCATAAATGACTCGTTAGTATTAAGCACTCTCAACTCTTATCTTGGATTTGCCATTTTTTAGGAGTAGAAACTTCCCTTTAAGATATATGGAATCTTTCTTTGACTTGCATTTAAGTGTGCTTGAAAGTGTATTAATCATATAAATAATTATAAGTATAAATATTGTACGTTTATTGCATATCGTATTGCAAATATGTGCAGCTAGCTCATGAGGGAGAGGTTAAAACTAACACAGGAGGATTTGGGGGGAACTTTATGTCTTTAGTGTAATGGAGAAGAGTAGTTTCTGATATCAGAGAATTTCTCTGCTTATTGAGCAAGGGTCGGGCTGAGGTCACTATTTATAATAAACATTGAAAATTGAGCTAGCTGATTCTGACTGAATAAGTAGTCTGTTGTGCAAGATGTATTTACTAGTGACTACAACAGCAAATGCTATCCTATTGTGTTTAGTTTAGGCATCTCTCTAGACGGATGCTTTATGCTGTGCCACCTGTTACCAAATCTAAGGTACTAATGAATGACATTCCATGTGTTACAAAAATAAAATGTTTTCGATAGTTCTTCCAAAGACTAGATTTACAAGGCTTTGCTTGATGGGTAATTTGCTTAGCAGAATTCTGCCTTTTCATTTAGTTAAATTTAAGGTCTGAAAGCCCTGTAGCTTGGGCGCAGTTGACCAACTGCACAGATTTGATAGGTCACCTATTCTGCCTTTCACATTTACTCACTCACTCTTAAAACCCTTGCCAGAAATCTGAAATGATGACATACTTTTGTCTGCAGCTTCTTTTAGAGCCATCTGGTGGCACTTAGTGAATCCGTCTTTCATGATACTGGGGAAAATCACTCATCTGAGCTTAATATTCCCAGAACAGAACTCTGAAATGAATGTGTGGAACCCTCTTTTCATCCTGTACCGATTATGGTGATGCCTCATTCATAGATTCTACGTACTAGTCACTTAAATTGATCGATCTACAATGTTTTAGAAGAAAGGAAAGCAATGCATATTACAGTTAAGGAACATTTTTAATGCTGATGGAGTTGACTGAGAGCGCGTTGACAGTTTGATAGTGGTTTTACTTTTCTGATGCAGTGATACCTTCTAGAACGGTAACCAGAGGGTGAAGGCTACTTTTGTAACAGAGGTACAATATGAAAAAGTACATCTTATTTTCACTGTTTTATGACTGAGAACTTTGAAAATTATTTGTATGAATAAAGTTAGGATCAGAATGCTGATGCAAGTATTAATCATAATTAATAACTATTCCCTTACTCTTGCCATCACCTTGTACTCTCTTTCCTTGCGGTGATTTCTCAGCCTTTCCACCTTAAAGCTCTAACTTTGCTGTAATTGAAGAAGTCCAAATATCTTATCTCAGCCTCTGTTTGAGTTTTACCTCTTTGTAGTGTAGTTCATCAAGCCAGACAGCTTAAACTACTCTTGGCTTTGATTTCAAAAGGCTCTTTTGGTAGCTCCAGCTTGTTCTGTTCTTCTAGTTCATGCTTCAGACTTTTCTCTGTGCAAGAGTAGGATCTACTCTGCCTAGAATTTCCTTTTCTCCATTTCATTGTGCTCCAGCCACAGATGTCTGCGCTGTAGCAGTACGTGCGGCACGTGACAGGTACTGTTCTGTGTTGTGTGTGCGTAGGAGCACTGCCTCATGGGCATTAAAGGAACTGTGCGTCGCAGTACCGATGGCGACTTCATCCATGCTAATGTTGATATTGACCTAATCATCACAGAAGAGCCTGAAATTGGCAACATAGAAAAACCTGTAGAGATTTTTCACATCATTGAGCATTTCTGCCTTGGACGCCGACGTCTTCATCTTTTTGGAAGGGACAGTACAATTCGCCCAGGTAACTGTTATTTTTATTTTTGTCAAATAGTTAAATTTTAATTTACTTTAGTAACCCTCTTCCATCATCTGATGCCATGTGATGGGTTCTGGTGGAAGCTGAGACAATAATGGTTCATCCCAATGCATGATTCTTCTGTCAGGACTTGCACCAGCTGAATAACTGTCTGTTCCTGCATATATCCCCGTTTCCCCCACCACGGGATTATGATACTGCAGGAAGCCAATAAGCTTTCCTGGTGACTTGTCAATAGCGGAATTCTAGTCAGAAGTGAGGAAATCTACTGAACGGAGAAATTTCCCAGGCTTCCTACCCTCCCATTCAGCTGACTAACCAGCCTAACATCCAGCAACAGAGGGATTGTGGCATCACTTGACAGTTCTCCCAGCGCTGTGACAGCAGCGAAGTGATCTCTGCTCTAATGTTCTGTCCCTCACGATCAAATAGCAGAAAACTTTGCCAGAACTACAGATCCCACGTACGTATTTTCTTGGCATGATTGTCTGTCTGAGGGATCCTTGGCCTCTGTTGCAGGAGCATTGTATAGAACCCTACTAAGTGATAGTAAGCTAGGTTATTATTTCTATTATTATGATGTTTGAGAGCATGTCCAAGTCACAAATCCAGTTTAACACAGCTTACTGCTAAGGTTTGTTTTATAGATACTCATTTTCAGAAGTAAATACTTGCTCAAACGGTAAGAACTTTATGCTTTTGTTTTCTCCATGTTATCTCTAATTGAAGGTAAATGCTGAAATTATTCAGTGTTCTAGTGGAATACTGAAATGTAAGTTCATATGCTGAATATTTCTATTAAACTTTTATTTTTGGACTTAATAGTGAAGTAAACTCCACACCAGGTCTGAAAATCGAGATGTCTTTATTATGTGCAAGACAGAGTAGAAGAATTCTCTGCTTGTAAAATTTGTATCAGTGTCCCTAAAGAGGTTTCCAGACATGTATTGTGGGTCAGACAATAAATCTCAAGGAGATACAATTTTTGGTTTATGTGAAGATCTGTTACTCAGAAAAGAGTGTTGTTTGGAAAGTATGACAGCTACTGAGTCAATTTTTTCAGAAGAAAGTTTTGGTAACCATTGTTTTTGACTGTTCGTATGTTTAATTCATCAGTGAGTATAACAAAATTAAATTGAGATTTCTTTTTTGTTTGGAAAGTCTATGACAGCTACTGAGTCAATTTTTTTCAGAAGAAAGTTTTGGTAACCAATGTTTTTGACTGTTCGTATGTTTAATTCATCAGTGAGTATAACAAAATTAAATTGAGATTTCTTTTTTGTGCCATGTGTTTACACTTCTTCAAAGCATGATTTCTTTGTCTAAACTGATTTTTATGTCTCTGTGAATTTAGTCCTGGTCCTGTGTATCGGAAGACCCAGTGTCTTACACTGGATGCTGCATCTGGCGTGGTTAAAAAATGCATAGAAGTATATGGATGAGACTGAAAGTAACTGCATTTTATTTGTTTCGATGGTCAGGCCTTTCAATTTATCATGCATAAGTGATGAAGGAGTTTCACTGCAGGAGAGTACACACTAGAAGAATAAAATCTGTTTTGACACCTTTTTAGACTTTTGTATCTGTTGTCAGTGACATTTCTGCCCTAAAGCCTAATGTGAAATACAATTCAGCAGTCCTGTTTCTTTCAAGTACCGATGAACGCTTGAATTGACAGATGTAATACCTCATGTTATGGATAGTGTAGTTGTCCCGCACATGCTGATGGATACTGGGAGTGTTGGTGTCTGAACAGCTTACGGTAATAGCGCGTCCTTTTCAAAAATAAGGGGAGAGGGGTGAGTGGGCGAGTGCTAGAGCTGCGCTTGCTTGAGGGTCCTGCAGCAGTTTTGTGTAACGCTGTTTTCCCCGAAATAGAGAGTAATAGTTTGGATGGCAGAGGAGAAATGGATACAAGTCCATCCGTGGCCTGGTTTGCTGCATGGGAATGCTAATACTTAAAAATGTTGCTTATTCTTTCAGTGCAGTTGGAATGGGATGTGTAGCAGTATACAAGCTGCAAGCAGGAAGTTACCTAAATAAATTTCAAGGTGGTGTTTCTCTCGCTTTCTCATACTACTATGGAGTAGTCATTATTGGCCATTCCTATTCTTTGACTGGCCTTTGGCTTGAATTTTAATGGTGTTGGTCTTAATTCTGTTGGTTACTGGTCTGTGTGTGTGGAGGGGGACTGTTTTGTTTTGTAGAAAGACATTGTACAGTTACTGGTTCAGTGCTGTTGTAGGTGAATTCTTACATGTTAATGTCCCACAAGGTCCTGTTAGTCTGATTCAACTTTGGTGTTTCTTTAATTGGTGGTTACCCTGGAATCGCCTTGCATACTTTAAGTCCTGTACTCACCACAGATCCTCACAGTGCTCTGTGAAATACGAAAACCTAAGCTCGCGCTCTTTTTTTTTTTTTTTTTTTAAAATGTGGAGAAAACAAGGTGTTACGTAAATTCCCAGGATAGAGAACAGTGTTAAAGGAACCGATCTTGGGGTTTTTTTTAATTCTTGTTTTCCTTATAAGCATGTTGTTGAGATCACTGAACTACATTTTTCTTCATTAATATATGATAACAACTGAAACTTAAATTCCCACTGACATTTTTAAATGGTCTGAGCCCCATTTTAGGTCCAAATGCTACTTTAGCTCACAATATGAAGAAATAGGATTGTGCCTGTTTTAAATGTCTGCCTTCACTTGAAGTGAAGCTGAAGTGCCCGCTGAATGTTTGTGCATAAGCAGGTTAATTTAACTCTTTAACTCTATTTTTGGATATCATGCTGGCTTCAACAGAATTGTTACTGTGTCTTCAGGTATGTGCTTCCAGCATGCTCTTGGCTCCGCAGTCACAACTGGTTTCTGGAGACAAAATTACCTTATTCAAGTTTAAATGCCTTTTAAAAAGGGGAGAAGGAGGAGGAGGAGGATAGCATTATTTTTAAACTAGGTGATTTTACTGATCTGGTTTGGTCTGGTCCCTGAGGGGCTGGAAAATATTGTTGTGGTGTAAGAACAAGTAGGAAGGAAGGGGAAAGGGACTTGTGAAACCACAGCGTGAATGTTCCCACATCCATGTGTAATTAAAAAAAAAGAGAAGAAAAAGAAAAGGAGCCCTTACAAATATAAAGCTAAAATCTTAATTTTTCAGCAACTCTGGCTTTCCTAGAGGTCACCTTTTCATTCCATTCAGTGCAGGCGGTGTGTAAGTAAGTGTCTGTCCCATCACTTGAGGGTGTTCATTTACAAGGAAGGCGACAGTAACGGCCTTGAAGCCGTTTGTTCTTGCTTTTCTTGACTCTGGTTTTGTTCCCTAGGTTGGCTGACTGTAGGACCCACCCTCACAAACAGCAATTTCAACGCAGAAACGTATTCTTCATACTTCACAGCTCCAAATTCCCACCTGACCGGCTGTACCGAGGAGATAGAGAGACTTCGGCCCAAGTCGCCACCACCCAAGTCCAAGTCTGACCGGGGAGGTGGTGCTCCAAGGGGAGGAGGAAGAGGAGGGACTTCAGCAGGCCGAGGAGAAAGGGGCAGAGAGAGGAACAGAACTAACTTTCGGGGTGAGAGGGGCGGCTTCAGAGGGGGACGTGGAGGTACCCATAGAGGAGGCTTCCCCACCCGCTGATTACTCTTAGGTAATTGTTTCTTCCCCCAGTCCTGTGCCTCATCTCTCAATCTTTTTTCTTAAGTCTTTTTTTTGCTAAAGTGATTTATTCTGGGGACTCAAGCTAGGTGACTTCCAAAACTGGTTTGGGTGCAGGCAGTTACAGTCACTGGCACATCACCTCACCTGGCCGGCAGGGTCCTGCACTTGACAGCGCTGAACTCCGCCTCCTGACAGCCGCTGTCACTCAAAGCAGAGCGTGCCGTCTCTTCAAAGCACAGAGTGGACTTGAAGGGAAGACACTTGCTCTTCCCCTAAGAAACTTAAAAGGTTTTTTTCTCTAAAACACAGATTCCTTTTTCTTTTTTGGAGGTTCAGGTTTGGACTGACTTGGACTAACATGATGGAATGGGCATGAAATGCAGTTCTGAATCGCATGGCCATAGCACACTTACTGTCTTACTCATGGAAGAGAGAGTGCTGTGTCTATACCGACACCTATTTTAACCTGTCTGAAACCAAGGAGCAAGTTGAGTAAATACAATTCTATTTTTTCATACTGGTTTAAATTTCCCAAATTATTCCTGGGAATAGGGAACAACTTTATTTTTCATCTCTGATAATGCACTCACTTTTTATGTCTGTAGTGGAGAGAGTGGTAATTCTGTGTGTTGTGCTTCATGGAAAGCAAGAAGTCATGCATTCATATGCAGCCCAGAATTTCTGCGTAGCTCTGGGTTGAGTTTTCACCCAGTGTCTGTTCATAGTAGCCTTGTTCTTTGGTAGGAAAAACCTGTTTCACTGCAGAGCTGTTGCAACGTAAGTAGTAGAAGGACCTCACTGGCGGTCGTATTGGGAGCGTGAGGCGATGTTGTAAGAGCGAGTGCTTCCTGAAAATAATCACCTGGGCAACGAGAGCGCAGTAATCAAACCGAGTGTTTTGCTTTGCCTGTGGACGTTATGTGCCTTGGAGATAGACTGTTGGTGGTCAGCTCCAGAGGACAGTGTGAAATGACAGCGATTCACTTTGGTACGTACAGGATTTGTTTTTAGCAAAACCGCAGCTCTGAACTTCTTGGTCAGTACTTGGTAGACTGAACAAACCTGGCTGCTGGAGTCTCAACAAAGTCTGAGGTGTGGCTTTTGGAAAACTGGCTTTTAAGTCCCATAATGTTTCTCTGTTGAAACCTAGCTTTTAAATAACCGTCCTGTAAAGTAGAGGATTATTAAACTTGTTTATCAAAGCTAATGTTGAAATATTTTTCTTAGTATTTTGTGCATTTGTTCTCCTTGAGGTGAGATTTTGGAACTACAAAGTTATACTGTGCTTTCTTCCCTACTGTTGCAGAAGAGCAGGCAGCAGCTGCTCTTTTGGTGCATGAAATCTTAGCATGGAAATTTTTGTTGGGTCTGGATAGCTTTGTGGCCTTGGCAGGGTGCTTGTCATGGGACAGCTGTGGTGCAAATGAAACTTGTCTGTTGATGTTTTGTTTCTTCCCTGTTCTGTTCGCACACCTGAAGTGTGACTGGGTTTGGGGGAGGGGCTGTTTTAAGGGTAGTGCTGGTTTGTCTGTCAGTGAAGTCTGCCAAAGGCTACCTGGAACAGCATCTAGGAGAAGTTACATGCCATGGTAAGAAAACTTTTTTGTGATTCTGCCCTAATTATGTTCTTACTCAAAAAGTAAATACTGGAGATGCTTAACCCTAGGAAGGTGGCTTTTGTGCCAGCGACAGATCTTTTTCTTTTTTTTTCAATTAGTAGAAGATGTTAATTCCCATTTCCCCCTTTTAATTAAATGTCCATAGCTGATAGTTCATTGCTCGGGCTATTCTTAACGGCTACTCTGGAGAGAAGACTCAAAAATAACTGGGTGAGATGTGCATCTGTATCAGTTTGCAGGAGTTGAGGTGCTGCTCCAGACTTCAGTCACTTGGGACATTAATTGCATGTGGTCTTGTGAAACAAACAAACAAACAAACTTCTACCAGAGAAATCCCTCTTGAGCCTGCAGAGCTAGGTTTCTTGTTTTTTTCCCCTCAAAGCTGAAGTAGCTCATGTAGCATAGGGCAAAAAAGACTGATGGGCCAGAGGGTGTTAGATTAGACTGATCTGGATGGGCCAGCTTCACCCGGGAAGCGCGATGTACGTGTTGTTAACAAGCAACTGGCTGTACTTTTTTAATTGAGGTTAACAGCCAAGGAAAGAGAACTTTCTACATGTCCTCTATGAAGAAAGATACCTGCCCGTTGTAATCGGAAGGTGGCGTTTCAGCAGTGCTGGATGGCCTGTAGGGGTAAGAAAGCAGTGCATGGGGGTGTGTGCCCAGAGGCTTGGTGTTGTGTGCTTGTGGTTGTGGGGGTGATACTTGGAGAATACTGTAGTGAGACGCTATCCCCCAGTCTGCCCCCAATTACATGGTAAAGACATCTGGTCCTTTTTTTTAATCACAGTTGCTTTGGACCATCCCTAAAGTGGTGTCTAGAGATGAAAAGTTTTTAATTTCATTACTGGTTGTCAGTGAATGTCTTTACAGTCAGAGTAGAAGGTGACCTACAGTGGTCTTTACTCATTGTGGTATGCATGGCATTGTTGATGCTGTGTAGCAGTAACAGTTGCAAACTTAACTTTGCCATGTCCCCTGGCTCCTGAGGTCAGTGTAACAAACTCTGTATGTTGCCTTGCTGTGCTTACAGGGAGAGGAGGTGCACGAACGCTGAAGCCACTTCTAGGCTTCATAGGTGCTGCTGTTTTAAGAGGTGTCGGACTGCTTCTGGCAGAGGTGGCTGATAGCATCAAAAAAACAACTTAGAAAATTTAGTAGATGAAAGAATAAAGTCAAACATGATTATATTTAATAATTGCTTATGCCTTTACACAAAGAGTTGCTGGTGTCATTTAACAAAGTACACTGACTTGGAATGGCAACAAATACTTTTTACAGGGTAACATCTTCAGCTAAAAAGTGCTCGTCTTGGCAGCTGAATTCGAGGATCCTTTTGTAACATAGCCACTTATTTTAAGAGCTCTCCGTCAATGCACAAGGAAGTAACTGTTTTGATACGCTGTCAAACCAAAAATATATGCATAATGGATACTAAAATGATTAACACTAAGTAGCAACACTGAAATGTTTAAAGGCACTTTTCTTTTTTCTTTTATGAGGCCCAACACTTATCCTTACTTTTGAGGGTTTTTTGCTTTCTTTGAAACACTGATTTTTGTAACAATAGCTTTTCAAGTTAGTTTGGAAAAGTTCAAGCCTCCCATGCATTCGGCCTAAGGATACAAAGAGGCTGATGAAATGTCTGAGGTAAACAGCTCTTTTAAAGACTCTGGTTTTCTAAATTCTACCTTAAATATTGATAGTAGCAGAGGCTTATTTTTTGAAGTGGTGACTGTTGAGTAAATCGGTCATGTGAGAGGAGGTCACTGTAATAGAACTGGTATTAAATGAGAGGCTTTCTTTTTATAGCACCGCAAATAACCTTTGGTTAATGTGTCAGCTGTCTGTCTTCAGTGGCAGGTCAACTGTAAATTCTGAGGGACAGATGTTTACCTAAGTTGTATTGGGAATATTCCAGTTAGTTAGTTAGCAAATGTATTAAGTAAAACGTAACATGTTCAGTGTTGAAAAAGTAATTAAATAGTATGCTAAAGTAATTGATGCCCTTAGGACTAGAGAATTGCACCATAAAAGTGTGGCATTATCTGCCAAACGTAGCAAAAGGATTGTTTGATTACTGTGGTCCATTGTCATTAAACTTACTTGAGTCCAGTTATAAACTGAGGCATTTTTGTGTCCTGGAGAACCCTGGGTGGGGAAGGTTACCCAGAGGTCTCTGTCTACAGACAGCAATGCTTGTCCCTTCCAGGAGCAAGGGGAGTATTTTTTAGAGATTAGCTCTACATGAAGGACATTGAAGTACTCAGACTGAACTACATGATTATTGCAAATCTGATTCAACTGTATGCCCCCACTTAGAAAAAGCAGCATTTTGTATTTTTTTTTTTCCTCTGCTGTATAGAGGTTTAGCATTTTTTCTGGCTCTCTTACAACTTATGACTAGCAAAAGGAATAGTTAACTTTTTTATTTAAAAAAATCTTTGTTTTCTAAATTGTATTTTAATAAATGCATACCATATGCTCTTAAGCATTGACAATTTGAAATCTGGCAGTTCAACTTGGAGAAAGAGTCAAGACTCCCAGAAGATTAATACCTGAGTGCAGAACTTCCTATTCTACAGCTTAGTAAGTAAGCAAGCTGAATACGCCTCAGTGAGAGGTTGTGTGAAATGAAACTGTACAAGAAGAGGACAGAAAAGGTTTGCTGAAGCAGAGCAGAATGCCCCGGCCAGCCTTCAGGCCCCAGTGACCGTCCCTCCTGCAAAATCAAAAAGAAACTGACAATGAGACTCGACTTTCCTTAACTGAGCAGCTGGCAGATCTCTTTGTGAACGCAGCATAAGAAATCCACATAAGAAGCTCCTCCATAGATACTCTTGTCCTCTACCAGGAACTGTCGGAAAAGCATCTCTGGCTGCTCACGTTGTTTCACTATAATCAGCTGAAAAGGTAAGAGAGATGTAGTTTTAGGATACAATCACAGTAAATGGCAGCATGGTTTTCCTGTATCTATTACTGTATGCTGTAGAGGAAGGGAAAAAAACCTCAAAACTATTAACTCTCCGCATTTCAGTAGCTGTAGTTATGAACACAGGAGAGAGGCTAGTGTGAATTAAGGTTTGTGGAATAAAATGGTAACTTTTAGACTTGACTATCTCTGAAAATCTTCTTTGATTAGGAATTAAGCATCTTTGAGATGCTTGTGTCTACAATGCATGCTGGAACTCGCTGATGTACAGGAACATTCCTGATGTGTAAAATCTGACAGCTAACCGCTAAGTTTTGTCAAAGCCAGTAGTGTTCTTTGGAACAGGTACGAGGAGCAAGTTGAGGCCGAGAGAAGTTACCTTCATGGTGTAGGGCTTTTGGCTCTGGATGTGCTCCAGTATTGACTTAAGTTTCTTAGAAAATGGATTGTCCAGGTCAGGCAGTGATGTCTGTTAAAATGAAAGCATGGCAGGTGGTTATATTCCAGTCACTTCTCATGTGAATTCCTACAAGACCAGCTTGCTGGTATTTATGATGCAAGCTACTGT